ATAAAGATGGTGAATTATCAAATATAACTAATTATCGACCAATATCTGTACTCTCTGGCTTTTCAAAGGTTTTTGAAAGGATTCTTTACAATAAAATATATGAACATCTTTCTAAAAATAAAATATTAAATGCCAGTCAATATGGATTCAAAAAAAAAATAACTCCACGGAATACGCCATACTTCATGTAACTAAAATATTGCAAATTCTTTTGAGAAATCACAATTTACTCTTACAGTTTTCATTGACCTATCAAAAGCCTTTGATACGATAGATCATGAGATTCTTATACAAAAACTTAAAAACTATGGAATCAGCGGGAATTTATTAAATTTGCTAAAAAGCTATCTAAACAGTTTGTACAAATTGACGTATCCTCCTCAACAAGTTTACTAGATATAACATGAGGTGTTCCCCAAGGGTCTATACTAGGGCCACTACTTTTTCTCATTTATGTTAATGATCTGCACAATGCCTCAAGTTTGAAGACAGTAATGTTTGCCGATGATACAAATCTTTTTCTATCCGGTAAAAATATCATTACACTATTTAATGAAATTAACATAGAATTAATTAAAATTTCAAATTGGTTTAAGTCAAATAAACTATCCATTAACTTGGAAAAAACTAAATGGACTTTATTTCATTCAAAATCCCCCAAAAAAATTTTTTTTTTGGGGATTTTGAAAGTTTTTTTATTTATGTACAAATGTAAGATAAACCTAACCCCTATATCCTTTCAAAATTTATATGCAATAAAACAAAAAAACAAATATGACTTAAGAAATGATTAATCTTATTTATCAACATTATTCTCATACAAGTTTTGGAAGATCTCTTTTAACATATCGCAGAGCTCTTCTGTGGAACAAAATAGTTTTGAAAAATTTTGATTTTTCCCAAAGTTGGAGTTTTCTTACTTTTAAAATTAAGTTGAAAAAAGTTATCTTGTCAATTGAAAATATTTTTGAGTTCTTTTGAGTTTATACCTTTTAAAAAAGTGTGTGGTTCCTTAATATATTGTTTTATTTTGAAATATTTAGTTTTATATATATTCTTTATTTTGTCAAACGTTATTTTATATTTTGAAATATCTGGTTAAATTTAAATTTTATTTGAAATTTGATTTGAAATTTAAATTTTATTTGAAATTTTATATGAAATATCTGATTAAACTTAAATTTTATTTTTAAACGTCATTTATTGTAATTATTTAATTTTTTATATTTTGCGCTAGAAGTTTTTTTAGCACAAATCGGCGACTATTAGAAGGGGGTAGCGACTACTGGACCGTTTACCCTATCTCTGAATTAATAATATATAAAAGAAAATGTATATCGTTTAGCGTTTAAAATTCATAGTTTTTCAAAGAATAAGATTTAAGAATTGTTTTGTAACTTGAAGAAACAAAGTTTAATAAAAAGTTAAAATGACAAAAATAACATTTAAGAATTGGTTTGAAAGAATAAGAAGATATGATTTAAATATAAAACAAATTTTATTGTTAGTGCAATTTATAGTTGAACTTATTTAATCAAATTTATGATTTTTATGAAAATCATAAATTTAAATTTATGATTAAACTTTTTACTGTTTTTTGGTTTTATAAAAAATTTATAAAACCAAAAAACAGTAAAAAGTAAAAATAAAGGATTAATAAACAACGCAAAAAGAAAAAGAAATTTCTCAAAAAGAAGATTTAAAATAATAAAATATATGTAAATATGTTGATTAATTACGTATTAATAATCTACAGTAATTAATTAACTATTGGTTATTGATTTCTAATTTAAAGAAGCTTTATTAGAAGAAATTTAATTCATTTTCATTTAACGAAAGTTATTGCTTGAGTTTTGTTTTGAATCGGTTTAGAGAATAATTAGTTTTCAGTTCATTATTTGATATTATGTTCAATAACGTTGGTCCTCGGTTTACAATAGAGAATTTAGTAGTGGAATAATAAGTTTTGAATTGAATGTAGTTGTATTTTGAAAATCTAGTAGGGTATATGTGATTTATTTTTCAAAAATTAAATAAGATTGGTAATATACTTTTATCAAGTTTGAACATGAAAATAAGAACATGGTAGAGGTTTAGTTTATATACATTTAGGATATTTAGTTCATTAAAGAGTGTTTGTGAGAAACGATCTACGTTTGAAACTATCCTTATAGCCTATTTTTGTGTACTAAGCAATTTTTTTGGTTTTTCTCGCGTTAGTGCTGCACCAAGCAATGTTCGCATAACTTAAGTAGCAATGAATAAAAGAAAAATAAATGTTTTTTAAATAAGATTGATTTAATAACTGCTTAGCTTTGTAAATTATACCTAAATTTTTCTATATTTTATCTTCAACTACATCTGTATGTTCCATCCAGGTTACATTTCCGTCTAAAAATACGCCTAAAAACTTTATTGATTGCTCTCTCTTAATTAATTTATTACCAATAAAAAGGTCCAGAAGTTTCTACCGCCTTTGTCACCATTAAAACCAGTTTCATCACAAATCCACAAACTTATGGCTTTACTATTTTTAAACCTATTTTTGATAAACTAAAATTTTTTTTCAAAACATACCCTGCTCTCAAAAATTTTTTTTCAAAACATACCCTTTGTACCATTTGCGACTAGGCGCCCCATTTATGTTTTAACTTTACATTTTAATGGTTATACACGCTTGCTATTGAAAACACGTCGGGGTGTAGTGATAAAGCAAATATTGTCTTCTTTTAGCCCCGGTCATGTAGATTTTATTTATATAACACGGCATTGTATTCTTTTTTTTTAATGACAAATAAATAATAAATAAATAAAAATAAATAAATAAAGGTGAACCAAGGTTAACTCGATAAAAGTTAAAAAATTTGTTGTATTGCCACTACCTACTAGTAAAGTCTTATTTGATTTTCGGTCGGATAACGTTGATTTTGAAATGCGTTAGAATTAAGCGGCGGCTCTTAAGCCAAACTCGCCATTTTCAATCTTATCCAAAGCGCTTTTTATTGTCTCCTCAGTATAAGGCTTTTCGCTTGTTTTTTATTTTACCAATTTAAGTTTAGTAAATTCAATTCAGTTACAGATTTGTAGAGATTTTTGAAATTAAAGAAACGAACCTTCAGGTACACAAAGTAACCACTCTTGTGGTTACTTTGTGTACTTTATCACTTTAACTTCAACAGTATAAAAGCAAAAGTTCAAAATTAATCAATGCGAAAAGTATGAAAACTTAAAAAACCAAAATGAAAAAAATTCAGTCAGTGTGAAAAAATAATAAATTCATTTTAACATAATTAAAAAATTCAACTAAAGTTGAAAAATTCAACTAAATTTTTTTTTGTTTGCGCATAATTTGGTGCGAACGGACGTGTTTTTTATTAAGAAATTTACTTCAGCAAAAAAAAAAAAAAAAAAAAAAAAAAAAAAAAGATTTTAATCTCGATGTATTTAAACTTTATGCTATATGGCGCCAAGAGAAATTGGTGAGTTGTTTTTAACAATACAGTCAAGTAACAATATTTTAGAGAACTATATTATAAATGTAGAGGAAATCTGCTCACATCCAAGGGATGTAATCATCTATGGGTTTTCTCAATTTAAGGAGGCGGAAGTTTTCAAATTAAGAGTGGAATTATTTCAAGAAATATTGGAACGTTTTGACATAGAGCAGTTCTCACTGCTAAACATTATTCTAGACGCGGAAGATCCCGTTAAAAAAAATCTGAGAAAACGGTATAAGATATTAACATGTCTTGATGATATTTATCTGATGTCGATTTCTTTAGCGGAAAATCAACTTCATAAAGACTTTATTAAATTGATTTCTAACTCCAAACAAGCTAGTCAACAAATGTATCAACCGCCAGATATAAATATGGCATTGATTTTAAAAGAAGTTATTGATCGGTTAAAAGCATTACAATTAGAAAATAAAAAAATTATGGCAGATTTGCATCTATTACAGGTAAAATACGACGAACTACAAAAAACAAATAACGAAATCGTGAAAAATCAATGTGCGTCACAATTTAACAACACAAGTAATTGTGAACCTCATAAATCGCAAGAAAATATAAAATCTATTGTTTCAAATTCAATAAAATATCATTCCCCAAATCAAAGAAATACGCTGGAAGAAGTTACTGCACACTCCAGCACAGAGATTTCAAGTTTATATATCGATAGAAAAAATAAAATTAGAGATTCCTACGCTACCGTGGTTAAAATGCAAAACCCGGAACAAAATAACCGGAAACCAGAAAAAGAAAAAGACTGTGTAACAGACTATCAAGAATTCAAAGTGGTAGGAAAAAATAATAAAGTTAATAAGAGCCATATGGATAAGCAAAAAAAAGAACCCGTTTTCGGAAACAAAGTCGCTAGCAACAGAAGCTCGATTGCGGGCAAACGTATTATTCGAGAATCATATATATTTGTAGGCGGAGTTTGTAATTCCATATCCGAAGAAGATCTATCAAACTACATGAATAAAGAAATAGGTATTACTCCTTTAGACATAAAGCTTAATAGAGAAAACATGTACAACCGCTCTTTCAAAGTAAAAATTAATAGTACTGAAAAAGGAATGGTACTTAAACCCGATGTTTGGGATAACAACATTATTGTTAAACCGTTTAGAATGCGGCGAGAAGCACTAACAATCGAAAAACCACATCAAAATACCGAAAATCATTTGCCACAATTCTTACACCACTCTTCAGCATTTATGCAACAATAAAAATTGAAATCATAATGGGAGAAAAAGAATTAAATGTAACTAACACAAATATTACGCTATGTGCATATAACTGTCAAAGCTTTAAATCGAATTCATATTATATTTCTAAGTTGTTAAAGTCTTTCGATATTATTTTTATATCAGAACATTGGCTTTTAAATATTGAGAGTTTTTTGTTAAATAACATTGCATTACTAACACACAAAGTTTTTTTTCATGCGGCAGAAAAAATACACACGGTAGACCATATGGAGGAAATGCTTTTATGGTACGAAAAAAATGGTCGTCTTTTTACATAATACATGAAGATGAAAACATTCTTGCTATTAAAGGCACACTTAACAATCGTAACTTAATTTTTATTGGTGTTTACCTTTCATCTTGTCGTAATAATAACGAATCATACGCAAAATACTCTTCTCAGTTACAAACAATCACTTCAATAATGAACAACTATGAGGATGAAGGAGAATGTATTATTTCCGGAGACTTTCAGTCATTTCCATATAAAATATATGATTCAGAGCTTCGTAAAAACAAAACTAGGAACAATTTCTCAAAACATCTCACTAATTTTATTGAATCAAATCAGCTCGCTTTTGTCGATATAATCAACGGTGCTGGGCCTACTTATACCTATCAACATAAAACTCTTTCTAATTCTTCTTACATTGACCATATTGCATCCTATAAACAGACAGAACTATGTTTTACAAACTGTCAAGTTATGCAATCTTCACCGCTTAACCTTAGTGATCACCTTCCGGTGTCTACGAATATTAACTTTGAAGGTACCGGCTTATCACACGAAATAAATAATATAATGCAAAAATATAATTCAATACCAAAACATGCATGGAATAACGAAAGGTTTATTGACTTTTATAATCTCAATCTATCAAAAGCATTTACTAGTTACGCATTTAAGGAAGATAAAATAGAAGAAGAAATTCAAAAAACATGCTTATATATAAAAAATGCAGCTCTCTTGGCAGTTAAACAATGTTTCGGACAAAAAGAATTTTATAAGTACTCGAAACCTTGGTGGACACCTGAGCTTAAAAAAATTAAAGATAATCTCTCCTTTCACTTTAGACAATGGCAAAAATCAGGCTATAATAAGTCAACAGAATGTATATCCTACAAAAGATTTATTTATTCCCGAAAAAACTTTCGTAAAGCTGTAAAAGCGGCACATAACAAAAAAATTCACGAAAAAACTAAAAATATAGAACACTTACGCAATACAAATCCTCAAAGGTTTTGGGGTAATATTCGAAAAATCAAAAAAAATACTAACAATCGACTCTTTACAATTAATAAATTGCAGAACAAAAACGAAATCGTCGAAGAATTTAGTCATCATTTCCAAAAACTACTTAATACACCGCAATATACAAATAACGAGTTCAATCCTCTCCAAATTCCACATTTAAGTAAAGAGCCTAATTCAAAAGTTATCTCGACAGCTGATATTGAAAAATGTATTTTAAAGCTTAAAAATAATAAATCTTACGATTGCTATGAAATCAGTGCCGAACATCTTAAAAACTCTCACAACAAGAATCTTCTTATTTTACTTTCGTCGTTTTATAACAATATGTTAACAAATGGAAAGGTTCCACACGGTTTATCAACCGCCAAAATTATCCCATTAGTCAAGTCTTATAAAACATCACTAGAAAATCCAAATAACTATCGAGGAATCAGCATTATACCAATTTTTACAAAACTTCTCGAATATCTTATCATACACATATGTCCAGATATAACAGAAAGTCATTCCCATCAATTCGGTTTTAAAGAAAACAGCTCTACCCTCCACGCAGAATTTCTTCTGAGTGAAACAATAAAGCACTATAATCATAATAACTCACCGCTATATATATGCAGTCTAGACGCCAACAAAGCTTTTGACAGTTGTAATTGGGAATTACTATTCGAGAAACTCTATTACCAGAAAAAAATCCCATTATCTATAGTTCATACAATATTATCACTATATCAAACAGGAACTTCTAATATATCATATCTTGGATGTACATCAAACAAATTTAGGCTGTCTCAGGGAGTGCGTCAAGGATCCATACTGTCGCCTCATCTCTACAATATCTACACAGAGAACCTTCTAGAGAAAATTGTTTCAGAATCAAAAGTTGGAACTTCAATAAATGGTGTATACACAGGTATCATTGCATATGCTGATGATATAGTTTTACAAAGTTCCACTATATCTGGTCTTCAGAGCCTTATTAACATTGTTCAAAAGTATGGACTATCGAACTTTATTAAACTGAATACAGAAAAAACTGAATTTCTAATATCTGGAATAAGTTCGATTTTAATTAACGTTATTTATATTAACGGTGATCCTATCAAGCCTCAAAACAATCTAAAACATCTTGGTTTCCTTTGGGATAATAAGAACAAAAAAATGACAGCAACACTCCAAAAACAAAATATAACTGAACGTGTAACGCAATTTTTATCTGTTGCAAAAGGTCTTATAAGAAATGGACTTCGCTTTTGCCAGCCTGCTACCATAGTTCATTTATTTAATTCTTTAGCTGTTCCAACGTTGTTATACGGATTAGAACTGTGTGGAAGCAGCAATAAGCTTCTAAATAGCATTGATATAGCTGGACGATCTGTCTTAAAATCCTTCTTTAATATTTCAAAGCAAAGTAGAAATTATATACATTCTTATTTCAAAGTAGACGCTGTGTCAGACATTCTTTTTCGCAACAAGTTAAATCTATTTATCAGGCTTTTAAACAACCCCATATGTTACTCGATTATACGGACTCAGATGCCTTTAATGAATCAACGATCATTTGTGGGTGAGGTAATGATAATGTGTAAGAAAGCTGATATAAACATGCTCCAATTTATGATCGAGGGTAAGAAAATTATAATTGCACGCCCTCAGGAAGCATTGGAGGCCAATGTTGCGGCGATCTTAAAACAATCGTTCCAACACTGGAATTTAAAGGAACAAAGAGAAGTATTTAGAACGCTGATGGAGGAAAACATTCCAAGAACGATGCAAGAAAATACTTAAATGTGCTTTGTTTTTTTTTAATACTTTTACCTATAGTTTATGTAATTATTGGGTGTTTAAAAGAATAAATATATAAAGTGAAAAAATAATAAATAGATTAACCTATTAAAATTTAATTGATTATAGAGGGGATTTATTGTATCCGGTTTAAAGTGGAAACTAAAGAAAATCTTGTTTCCGTCATAGCTTTTTAACGGAGTAAGGTTTCGAAAATCTAAAACTATTTTTGGAATTAGCAGAAGATTTCCAACAAAATAGCTTTCTTTATTTTAAAATTGCCTTTTTAAATCTTTCATGCTAAGAACCTAATTTCCAAAAAAAAGTTTGATATTTAGGGTTTGAACTTAAATACTTTTTTTTAGGTTATTAAGGTCCTCCCTGAAGTCCTAACTGTCTCATCACGGAGCACCGCGGCAGAGCATATAACTAGAAGTTTACGCCTCCTTCCTAACTAGAGCCGGTGTAGTAGGCAGGATTGACTTAACGGTAGCGTTCACTGTACAGTAAGCCGTGCCGGAAGATAGCACACACTTTACAGTGCTTGCTGCCTAGGTGCAAGGTACTGTACAGTAATTCCTATGGCTAGGCACCAAATACTTAACTCAGGTAACATAAAACATTTTTTTAGTTTAAACTTATTTTTTTTTAATAACTTTTAAAATAATTGGATTAAGTTAATTTTATAGTACAATTTAGGTTAAATTTTTCAAACTTCTTTTTTCTAATTAAATAACATTACAGAAGAGTTTTTACGACATGATCTCCTTCTTAAATTTGACCTGTTTTGAAGTATATGACTGGGTATTCTTATTTTCACTAACATTCGTAAGATTATCTTTCAAGATTTACGAGGTTCTACTACCCTTATTGACATACAGATTAAGGGTTTTATTTCAGACTTTTCTTGTGGTTGTAACCACAATGTTGGTAAAAGTTTTACAAATAAAATATATATTTATCAAGGCTGCTTTTAGCCTTTTGTGGACCCTTGTGTAGTAAGTTTTGTTGGCCCTTCACTTCTTTGATTGTTTTCTATGCTTTATTAATTGATTAGAGTAATATTTTTTTCATAAAAATACTATTATAAGGACCCAAATGTGGGTAAAAATTCTAAAAAAATAAATATTTTAAATAATTTTTTTCATTCAGTAAAAATTCCGTTGTGACACGCTAGTTACCCTTTTTTAGTTCCTGGACAACTGTACCTGTCAATGTTAAAAAAATCATTGATTTTAGAAGACTACAAATCTACGTTGAGGTTGGCTGTCTTCTAAAGTTTTATAGTTTTAATTTTTTATAATTAACTCATTGGTATTTTAAAATCTGCGTTGGCATTTAAAAAAAAGTATGCGTGCGATTAAAAAAGAAAAGAGGCCATCTGCAAGACAAGAAACTTCAATTGTATTCCTCAATCAAATAAATTTTGTTGTTTAAAAAGCAAACCTTAACTACTTAAAAATTAAGAAGCTTTCATTAAAAGTTTTTACAGAAAAAAATAAATTTATAATAGTATTTTAAATTAGCATAGTATCAATAAATTCAATTTCTTGTATGCTAAAACTTAAATCAAAACTTAATGAGGGAGAGTTACAAAATAAGTCTTTAATTAGTTTTAAAATGATAATTTGCATAACATTTTGGATTTACAAGAATAGTTAAAGCAATCTTACAATAAAGTCAATAAGAAATATAAGTATATAAAACTTTTTAAAAAGTCAATAAAAACACAACTTAATGTGAACAAAAATCAACTGACAGCTAAAACTCTATCATAATGTGCATCAGTATTTTGCAAATAAACAATTTGGTCATTTTCTTTTATTTCCATCAGTTTAAACCGATTTATATTTTGAAGAAGAGGTTTGTAAAAAAACCACGAAAATACAGAAGCTTTAGGAGGTTTATAGTAAACAGCTATTGGTGTATCCAAGGCAGTAGCTAATGCATATATATCGACATCAGTGCCCCATATTAGATCAGTCTCCATTTTCGAATCACTAATATATTTTAAAACTGGTTTTGATATATAAGCATCAAAAGCATTTCTATATTCCGCTTTTAAAAGAGTATCAATTGCTAGTTGACGCAGTATTTTATAAAACTCTTGACTTAGACAAAATTCCTAACTTAAAGCTCAAAATAAGCAATTTCCATCACATTCAATTTTATCAACACTAATCGGTTTTCCCAACTTTTTTTTTCGTACAGCAAAACCTTTTTTAAAAGGTGTTTTATTAGTTAAAGAAATTTTCAACATTTCTTTGTTCTCCATTTACTATTAGTATGTATAAAAGAGTTTGTTTTGCTAATAACAACTTCAACAATTTCTAAAGATTCAGATTTAATATAAGAAACCTCATCATATGATTTTTGAAGTATTTCAACTTCAGATCTTTTCTTTGAAAGTTTCATGTTCGAACCATGATGAAGTATTTCACCATTTTTTTTGTTTTAGCTGATAAAGTCTTTTATCAATAAATGTTTCTATAACTTCGTACGGTCCATCCCAAACAGATTTTCCAATATCACCTTTTCTATCAGCTCTTCTAAGATTATAAACAAAAACCTCATCGTCTTTATTGAATTGGATTTGGTTTTTGTGATGTTTCTCATAGTCCTTCTTTTGTCGCAATTGAGATTTCTTTATATTTTTTTTTACTTCAACATGAATTATACTTTGAATGTTTTTAATTCCTTTTTAGTTTTCAAGCAAATCAGCCTGTTCCAAAATACCTTAAAAGAATAACTAAATGTATAAAATAAAATTTAATAATTTTTAAATTTAATATTCTATTCGTTTATTAAAATAAATACCTTCTTTTATGTCTAAATCAACAGGTACATTGTGAATTAAGCTTTGATCATTATTTATGCAATGTAATAATAAAACTGGCTTCATTGCACACATAACTTAAAAAGGAGTGACACCGGTTGACTTGTGATGAGTTGTTCGAAATGCAAACAGTATGCCATCTAATGAATGAGGCCATTTTTCTTGCTCCCCGCTCAGCACTTTAAGCATAGAACCCTGTATAGTTCTATTAGCTCTTTCAACCAGACCATTTGCCTGAGGATGGTAAGCCAAAGTAATACGTTGACAGGTTCCAGTAAAATTTAGCAAATTTTCAGAAACTTTATCACAAAAAATTCTCGACCTTCATCATTAATTTGAATTGAGGCACAACCATGTCGACATATAAGTTCATAAAGAAATCTGGATACCTCTTTAGCACTTTTATTATAAACAGGCTTTGCTTCAATCCATTTTGAAAAGTACTTTAGGAAGACTACAGAGATCAACACCAAATTGATGCCATATTTTTGTTGGAACTGGTATTGGATGCAACTCTGGAGAAACTTTTTTCATTTTTAAATTTGCTTTTTGACAAGATTCACAAGTGGCAACATAATTTCGGGCATCTTTATTCATATTTGGCCACCAAAATCCTTAATCAATCAATTTCCACATTGTTTTATCTCTCCCAACATGTCCACCTACAGCCTTTGATTCAGTTGATGTGCCTAACTCGTTGTGTGCTGCTTTTTTGTACTGATTACGAGACATTTGATCTTTGAAAACACATAAAGTCTCTGGGTCTTTAATGATTTTTCTATATTTGTAATGTAGCATACTATTAACAAATCCAAACCTCTCGCTTTGTTTTTTAAAGTTTGTTTTAATACCTATGTTTTCTCTTCCTTGTAAATGTTCAGGAAAAATTCCTGATAATAAATAATTCTCAATATCATAAAAGTTCGGTTCTTTAATTATTTTTTTAGATGATCTTGAGTAGTCTATCTCTGATAAATTTTTGTCTGCCATTTTATACTAAAATATCTAAAATAATAAAAAAAGTGTTTATAGCAGTGCTATAGGCATATATTATGTGCTATAGGTGCATACATCATATGCCCATAGCACCTATAGCATAAAAAATAATTATCATAAATTTATAATAAAATGCACGTAAACAATATTAGTTAAACAATTAATTGAAATGATAATCTATTGAATTATTTCAGAGCGGTTATTATATAACAGAGTTGTTAGTCCTTGATCTTGGCCTAGCCTTAAAATTTCCATTTTCAAGACCAAGGCCCTTAGCCTTGAAACTGTTGGCCTTTGCCTTAAAAATTTTAGCTTATTTAGGCCTTAAAAAAAACACATTTTCTTATTGATTTTGTTGAAATCTGATCATAAACTTGGTCTATTTTTACAAAATGTGGTTTTATTTTCACATCACTTGCTATTTACAGTTTTGGCCTTAACGTACAGCAAATATTGAAGTCTTAAATCTTAAAAATCTTTGCTTCCGTCTTGGCCTTGAAACTCTAATTCTTGGTCTTGATCTTACAACTCTTGGCCTTGTAACTTTTGGCTTTGGTCTTGTAACTTGTGATATTGGCCTTGCTACTTTTGGCCTTGTTAACAACTGTTATATAATAATTTACTATATAATAATCTTGAAAATAATAATAATCTTAATTTGACCTAAAAAAGTTACTACATACAAAAAAGAAGAGATAAATATTAAATTTTAAACGTTTGATTTTGAAATTTTATTTAAACTAATACTATACTGCTATAGCAGTATGTTTACTATAGTGAACAAACGTTTGGCGCTACTCGACTTTCTCCCCCCCCCTGTTTTTATGATTGATTTTTATAGAGTATATTATACTGATTCTAAATCATATAAAAACATAGGTCTGAAAACTTGAGGAAAGTACTCTAAACTGATGTTAAAGTATAAAAATCCACATTAAAAAACGCTAATATTTCACCATCTTTTTAAAAACATTTTAACACTGTTTTTAAAATTTAGGTAATTAATTTTTTAACTAACGACCCGGTTTTTATTGTTGTTTTTATATTTTATGATGTACATACATCAACTGACATATAGGAATAGGCGCAACTAAATGTACATGTATCGACTGACAAATAGGAATTGGCGCGATTAAATATACATACATCGACTGACAAATAGGAATTGGCGTAAATAAATGTACATATCTACTGACAAATAGGAATTGGCGCAATTAAATGTACATGATTTTGGTCAGGGTTTGGTTGGGGCAGGAAATCAATAAAAAATGCGTTTTAAATTGAAGCGTCGATAGAAACCAGGGTTTTTCAAAGTTTTTATTGAAAAAGAATTTTATTATAACCGAGTATGACAAAGATGGCTAATATTAGCGTTTTTAATGTGGATTTTTATACTTTAACATGAAATTAGAGTACTTTCCTCAAGTTTTCAGACCTATGTTTTTATATGATTTAGAATCAGTATAATATACTCTATAAAAATCAATCATAAAAACAGGGGGGGGAGAAAGTCGAGTAGCGCCCAAACGTTTTTTATATTATTTTCCATGCTTCTTACCTCTTTTTAAAACATTTACACGGCAAAATTAAAATGTTAAGTGTTCGGTACCCAAGTACAGTGTTCGGCACCTAGGTAGGAATTACTTGCCAAGTGATCGGTACCGTCAGCATAGTCATAAGAAATATATGATAAATTATTCTTATGACTATGCCGTCAGGTAGGAATTACTGTATAGTGATCTGTACCGGATAAGTACTTCATACCTCCTAAACCTCGGACTTTTGGCTCAGAACCCTTAAGTCCGAGGTTCGGACTTTTTTTTTCCTAAACAAATTTTTTTTTTTTTTTGACTAAGAGAATACGTTTTTTTTTCAGAAACACTTTGTAGGTAAAATATAATTATATGTAAAATAAATTAGTTTAAATAGTAATCATTTTTGTTTAATTTCTTCAGTTTTTGAATGTAATTATCAGTTTACTTAACAAGTCAGGTATATATGAGATCTAGCATTATGCAAGTATTGCAGCTCAATAAAATTACTGCTTTCCTTAAATGTAATCTAAAAATTTTTGTTGCAAAATAAAATTAAAAATTAACTGAATAACTTGTAATATTTCTTTGGACCCTGCGAGGCTTATTCTATCAAAGTATTGTGTTGTAACTTATCCCGGTGCTGGGTAAGTACATTTTTTTTGTTAATTTTTGTTTTGATAGCAAAATAACTAAGTTTTATATTTATCAATGTTGGTTTATACGTCACTAAAATCTATTTTATAACCCTGATAAAAAATGAACAAAAAATCAGAGTTATAGGAGATAAATGTTTTTAATATTTGTTGCAACTAGCCAAGTCTCCCCTATTATTTAATTTTATATAATGAGTTACATGATCTATAGTACCAAAAGCGATAAACCTATGAAAATATCTGTGTATATTGTGATGTTTCAAATGAATCTAGTATAGTAAATTATACTATACTTCCAGTATAGTATATTCTACTATACATTGTATAATAAGAAAATAAAGTGTCATAATATTGTAAATAAACTAAGATGTTTATCTAATTATAAATAAATAAAAAATTTACAACCATTACAAATTACATAAGATTGAACAAATTATAAAAAAATCTACAAATGAGGATAAAAAAAATACACAAAATTCGAAAATTAAAGTGAAATAATTAGTTTGTTGAGTAAATTCCATTTCTGAAATTATATATGAGTTGGTTGAGGAGAAGCTTCATCAGCTGGTGACATGTCTTTGTTTATTTTGCGCAAACTCTGAGCAAGTTTTAATTCGGCTAAAGAACTCCGTAAAGATGATCTAAAAATATTTAAAAATTATTTAACTTTATGTTTTTAGGATTTCTTAGTTATTACACTAGTTATTATTAAAGGCGAGGTCACACTTAAGCAAGGGTTTGGGTTGCGGAACCTGAGTCGTTTTGGGTTGCGGCCCCTGAGTCGTTTTTAAATTACTGTTTCCCTAAATAAATGAACCCTGAGAATTTTTTTAAAAGTTGTTTGGCTCAATAAATAATACAAATAAGTCTAAAAATAAAAATTCTTCTTAAAATATCAGCCTTCTTCTTAAAATGTTTACCCTTTTTCTTAAAATGATCAGCCTTCTTCTTAAAATGTTAACCATTCTTCTTAAAATGCCTCAACCTACTTTTTAAAATAGATAGTGTTTCTATTATTTATTTTGGTGTGCATCACCAAGATCACATAAGAAGCGTTAAGATTTGAGTTTATTAACAGGGATGGGATAATATGCAATAGCCTCATCCCTTTAAGTTATATCCATGTGCAACAGTGCACTGTTTATTGATCTTGCAATACCTTGTTATATCATATATATATTTTAAAGCATATACCATATATATTTTCAAAATATTATTAATTAAGCTGCTCTTACATGCACTTTTATTTTTATATTTACATTAATTTTTAAAAAAATTTGGATATTAAATTTGAATTGTGGACAATAAATTTACAATAATTTCTGTATATTCAATATATTTAGTATACAAATTGGACCATTGAATTTTTGCTTACATTTTTAAAAGTAAAACATTATTTCAAGATGAGTAATTAAATTACCTGAGTTATATTGATTGTTTTTTTTTTTTTTTTTTTACTTTAGACTATTGATCAGACATTATGTAGACTATATGTCAAACAGTAGAAATCAAATTCATTTTCATTATTTATAAGAAAAAACATATTATCCGTATATATAAAACAAGATAAACTGCTAGTTTATAATTTTTTTTCTGAACAACTTGGAACTAAATTTAATTGATTAATTCTCAAAAATTCATCTTCAGATACAATCAACAATGGGGCGCAAGTGCAAAATTCAATGATAAATTTGTACAAAAACATTTAGACTGGCTTTGTAAAGACTTCATTCTTCCAAAATAAAACATTTGTTTATGCAATACAGAAAGTACAATTATGCAATACAGAAAAAAACAATCATCTCTAAGCAAGCCAGTTAAATCATTTAATCATCAGATAAACCTTGCAGAACTTGAATCTTCGAGTGTTATATGCTAGTAGTTTCAAACTTTGTAAAGAAGGAAAAAGAAAATATGCTTAGCTAGTTAGAAATTTGAAAATTCAAACATATGAACATGATCAAAATACTCCCAATCAAGTCTTAGCACTCATATTGTTATAACAATATGAGCAAGTCTGATTGTCAGTGTCCAAGAAACAATACCATAGGTAAAGTCTGCAACTTATATCTATCTTATAATATTTAAGCAAAGCAAAAGAATTGTCTTCCAGATTAGGCATGCAAGCGTTAGTCAACTACATAGTACTACGTATGATAGAATGTCAGGGAGAAGTTATTAAGTCAATAAAAAATTTTTGCAGAATGATACTAGGTGTTAGGTGTAAAGTTGTCTTTGATGGATCAACTGTTCAAACCATTTATACTCAAACAATAACAGCTAAAGAAAACAGAAACGTAGCAGATGAATCTAGCTTATTCCTCACTTGATTTGTGCCATTTTTCTGTGCCTGTATTCTGGATATAGTAATGGTAAAAAAAAGATTTTTTGGTCTACTATTATCTATCACCCACCTTCTTTTGCAGAGCTATAAGATTCTCCAAAAACAAAGAAAAATTAGATATATAAAGATAAAGAAGAATTATAAGATTATAAGAGAAGAATTACAAGCACTAAGGCTTTAGAAAGAATTTTTATTATTTAGAAAATGACTTTATCAATATTGAAAACATTTATTTATTACAATAATTTGTATTTATTATTAGAATTAATATTTATATGACAAATTTGAATTTGCTTAAACTTTATTTGCTGAAACATTCTTACAAAATTAAATTTCAGAAGGATCAAGCATCAAGTGTTAACATTTAAGAATGATAAAACATTTAATTTTTAACCCTTGTAAATTATAAAAAAAGAAATGCTCCTAAAACTCACATGTTCACATTTTTTTTGTTTGAATTTGGTGCTGGAGAATTTGTCATATTTATATCACTGTCCAACGAAATTTCATTAGGATCATCTAAAAGTCCAACAGTACTATACCTAATGAATAATAATATAAAAAAGATAACAAAAGCTATTAATTCATTTGCTCATTTATTAAACCATAAACTATAAATTCAAAGTAAAATAAGTTTACAAAAAGAGACAAATCATTGCAATTTAAAGATCACATAAAACAAAAACAAACAAAAAAAACAAAAAAAAAAACAACAACAAACAAACAAGCAAAAAAACTGAAGAAAAAGGAAACTGCAAAAGAAATATATAATTAATATGGGGAATATAAAATCTCAAAACACAAAATAAAAACAAGATATAAGATAAAAAAAGAAAAATAACCAAATCGAAAGAAAAACTTTTTATCTTAAAACAACATAATAAAATTTTTGAAATAAAAACAAACAAAAAAACAAATAAAAATCACCAAAGGTTAAAAAATGGAACTAAAAAATAGTTATATATATATAAATGTGTAATACAAAATATGACCTTATTAGGAGAAAAAGACAAATAATTTTTTAAATTGAAAGTAAGATTTTAAAATTTTCATTTTATCTTTTTTTTTTTCTTTAGCATTTTAATTCATATGTTTTTTTACTTCAAATTTTAAAGTTTTTTTTTTTCTTTTGTGCCCTTAGTGGACTATTAAGCTGGGTTTCCTTTTTTTTGTGTGTTCTTGGTGGATTATTAAGTAGGATTTCCTTATGTTTTGTGTGCTCTTAGTGGATTATTAAGTTGGATTTCATTTTGTTTTCAAATTTCACAAAAAACCTATTCTAACAATACATACAAAAAAGTTTTTTTATGCCATCTTCATTTCCAACACTTGAACCAATAAGAAAGCTTCCAATAAAAATTTAATAAAATTTTTTTTTTTTATTTATTGTTAGATAAGACTAGTTTTCAAAAAACAAAATTCTGTGAATGACTTGTTAGACTAAATTTGTCCCCACATTTTAATTTGAAAAAATATATGGTGGTGTTATTTATTATCCTGTTATTATTAAAAATGTAACATCATCAACTGACATTAAAAGAATCAATGCCAATCGTAAAATTATATCACTAAGGAAATTTGATACTTCTTCTCCAATGGTTTTGTTAAAACAATAAGTGTGCACTGGCAAGTGTAAATATGTTAAAAAAATTTAGTTTCTTATATAAAAAGGTTGAAAGGAAAAGATAAAAATATTTAAATTGAACTTTATAATTTTATGTATTACGAATTACATAAAGAGAGTTATATAGTAACAAACTCAGTTTGATTCTACAATAGACCTCTATTTTACAACTTGTTATTAGAATAATTATCTCCTTCTTTTTCATATTTAAAAATATTAACTCAAGGTGGAATTGAACCAATCAAAACATTATAATATCAAAAAAAAAAAAAAAAAAAAAAAAAAGGTTAAATTCAGTTATGCTCAATGATCTGTAATGCTTAACATGGTGATAAATTTGTTGGAAAAAAATGAGAACTAAGAATGTTATTTATGTTGTCTTTATTTTGGTTGGTATTAAATATTCCCTTTGTTGTTAAAGTCCTGAAGCAAGTATTTCTGAATATCGGTTGAAGAAACAAGTATTTCCTAAAATTGGTTGACAACCGAAGTTGAAGAATCTTAAACACGTTACTTGTATGCTAATTTTAAAATTCTTGTTATCATCGCAGACAACCAACACACTTGCTTTTCAAAAACTGATGACTAATAAAATGTACAGCTATAGTAAAATCTATTACATTCATTCAGAGATTTAATTTTCAAATGTTCAACTTTGACATATTAGAAGATAAAATTAATGTCAAGGTTGCTGATAACTAACATTTCACTAATGAAAAAGATAAATTATTGCCTATTAATTTAAAAGTCGCATACAAAATTACACCAAGCAAAAACAAAGTGCTAACCTTTGCAAATTTTCCACAAGACAACCTATTCTGCCATTAAAAGTTATTTTCCAAAAGAAAAAAGTGCTGATAATTTCTTGTAATTTATAAATGCAAAACAGACAGTTTAAATTCAAAAAATATGTGATGTAATAAAATAGGAAATGGTGTTCTTTCAAATTTTAAAAAATCATAATTTCTGAATACTCAATATGTAAGAAAATGGTAAAATACAAGTTTACAGCGGTGTCACAAACTTTCAGCTTATTCATACATTAATAATTTGATTAAAAGTGTATCTTTAACTAAAGTTTTATTATCACCAGAATAAAATAAAACTTTAACCAGCATTAAAATAATTGAGTCACCATTAGAAACTAACAAACAATGATCATCCAGGTCATATTTTAAAAAACAGGAAAACATTTTGCAAATAATATTCGGAAAAATCCAGAATTTATTTCCTTTATATTTATTTAATTTTATTTTAAGCTTTTACAATTTTTGAAACTTTTCTTATATTTTGTACAGGTAATGACTAAAAAAGTTTGAAAGCAAATATATTTAAAAAAAGTATATTTAAATTTGCAGTTACAGAGAAATTTTTGGAAATCCAGAAAAACCTAAAGTTGAAAAAATATCTGGATTCCAGATATATCCGGCAAAACCTCTGAACCAAATAAAAACTTCATCTCTAGCTGCACTTTAACTATTCTAAAATAACATTTGTTTTATGTGTCCTGACCATTTATAGGCAGGAAGGCAATATATTCATATAACTTAAAAATATATTTTATAGCAATAAACAATTAATTCAAAATGGCAAGATTAAAAAAGATGAAATAAAATTTTTGAAAAGCCAACATACCAAGAAATAAACTTATTTTGATATATTTATGGTTTGCTGCACTATTTTTTGCTCCTAGATATTTGGTTATGCTTACAAAAGCTGTTAATTTTTCTTAAACTTATTTATGGAAGACTATATTTTGCCATTTTGTTTATTTTTCATAACTAAATACTTTTATATTTCTCTTAGCTTTATACTTTGTTGAAATTTACTTACTTTAATATTTGAATGATATATTTTTATAATTTTTTATAAAATTAATTGCAAAAGCCAAAATTTTGGATTTTTTTCTTTTCATATTTGTAAGCCACAAGCCCCACTATATACTTAAGTAGGTCATGGAGGAGTCCATAAATTTTGAAAGGTAAATGTCCAATAATCTGCAAACCAGATTAATACCTGGAACGGCATCTGGTTGTAAGAAATGCCTTCAATAATGTCATTTATAAATAAATAAATTGCATTATAGAATTATAGATGAGTTATATATACAGATGGAAGACAATTTTTGAGCTGTAAGTGAATTTCGGTAAACCATAAATGGTTATAGTTTAATAAATGGATTTCAGTCAATTCATTTAGTAAACCATAAACCAACAATCTGATACAAGCTACTTAACACTGATTAACTCACATTACATACATTCAACTTACATATATGTAACTTACGTTACATAGAATTGTGTATGTGTCACAATACTTAACTCTATTTATTACATACAATTGTGTATATGTCATACTGTACTTAAAAATGTTGAAAGTCTCAAAAGTGTCAAATGCTTAAACATAAAAACATTCAAAATCAAACAAAAAATGTTTTAAAAAATATTATAAATTTTATAAATATGTAAGTATACTACTTTCTTGATAAGATAGAAAACCATATTTAAACAATAATATATATTAAATGTGACTTTATCATAAAATTTTTTGTTTAAAAAGTTCTTTATCAAAAACTTTTTAAACAAAACTTTGTATAAAAATATGTGCAGGATACTTCATAAATTGCTTCATTAAAACATTAATTGATTAAATAATGAATAAATTGTAACAACATGCAAGGATTATTTTACTCTTGCACAAACCTAGAATTCACCTAGAATTATAGTTTGTTTCCCATTCCTCATCTTCACTTGAGGTATCGATGACTCGCCAAACTTCCATAGTAACATTGCCGCTTAATGCTGACAAAATACTAACAGCTTCCTCATGGGATACATTCTCCAAATTGATATTGTTTACAGCCAAAATAGCATCCCCTGTTTGCAAGTCCTCACAACGTGAAGCTAACATTCCTTCATGAATTTCTGAAATAATTACTGGAATGCCATGCTCTTTTCCACCCTGGAACCATTTTGTACCCAAATTTCATTACTAGGTAAGTAGTTAAACAATGTTATTTGATACAGTAAATTAAAAAAAATTAATTTTACCGTAATTGATATTCCAAGACCTTCACTTTTTTCTCGGTAAAATTTAACCACAATTTTATCGCCTGAATGTTTTGCAATATTAACTCTTTCTTGCTTTTCTTTATTAATATGTGAGGAACTTGAGGATTTTTTTGGGGGATTTTTTTTGCAAGCGCGTATTACAGTTTTGTGACGATGAAGAAAGATTTCTGACTCAATCTGATTCCAAAGCATTTCGTGTTCCTGCAGTTTTAAGTTGCGACCCAATAACTGAATTTGTTGAATTCTAAGGAAAAAATTTAATTATTTTTTGCCTCAAAAATACTTTTTCATCAAGAAGTATATATAGGTATAAAAAATCTTTTCTTTAAAAATATAGGATATATAAATAATTTCTAAATGAGTCTTCAAATATGTCATAGAACCTTTAAACAACAGAATATATTTATTTAAATCATATTTTAATTTAGTTGATTTCCATTACCTTCCGGCAAGTTCTTTTTCTAAATATTTTGCAGCAAGTCTAGCTCCACAAACTTCCCCTTGAATCTGTGTAATATACTTTCGAAGAGCATCATTTTCTTTCTTAATTATTTTTATTTCTTCGGTTACTTGAGATTCTTTTATTGCATTTTGACGAAATTGAGTAAGATCATTCTCCTGAAAAGTTTAAAAAGTTTTAAATAAAAAAAAAAAATTTATTTGTAGTTATATTTAGTTATATTCTGAAAACGAGTTATTTAGAATGTTTACAAGTGTACAACTTATCATGATTATTCAGATGATTTATATGTTATATTGATATAATGATTTATATTTTATATTAATATAATGATTTATATTTTATATTGATATAAAGATTTATTTGTTATATATATTATTTGTTATATATATTGAAATAATGTTGATATCATCATCATCATCATCATCATCATCATCATCATCATCATCATCATCATCATCATCATCATCATCATCATCATCATCATCATCATCATCATCATCATCATCATCATCATCGTCATCATCATGATGATGGTGGTGATGATGATGATCACTATCATCACCACCATCATCATCATCATCATCATCATCATCATCATCATCATCATCATCATCATCATTATCATCATCATCAAGGTTATTACATATATAAGGTGTGCCTATGCACTAATTTGGTTTGGCTTATTAGCCAATGCAGATTAATCAACCAATGTCATCAGCCAATTAATCGGCCAATGGTTAGTAGGCAGAGTCACTGCTGATGTATAGGTACATGTTATATATGTATTTTACATCATATTATTATGATGCCCTTATATAAATTTATTAAAACCTATTAATTGCCGTTTGCCATCATTAATCATTAGCATAATTATCATCCCCTTCTGTTTCTCTTATATAAATATGATATTTTTTAACTCCCCTTCTATGGTGTTTCTCTTATATAAATATTATATTTTTACCTCTCTAGAGAACAAATGTCTTTTTATTATTGCAAGAAGTTAATGTAAAAAGGTGCTGTCTGATGCTAAGCTCAACTATTCTCAGTTAACTTAATCTTGTATCTTATCTCAGATGTTACATTTTGAGACTTTTAGAAAATCTTCACCAGAATCATAACTTAAGTAAATCTAACATTCCATCTTTAATTCATGTGTCTGATCTTATTAGTTCTCCTAAATTAAGACAATTGTTGTTTGCAATGAACATTTCCTCTAATTTGACTCTTAAATCTAAAATCCATACCCTTCCAGCCATTTCAGTTAAACAGATTAACCTATAGTTAGACATCTAAATTACTCTGGATTCGGATGCTAAAGTTAATTCTAAATTTTAATTTTTGATGGCTTTTGGTTCAGACAACATTTCCATCAATGTATTAAGTGCTAAATAAGAGGTTCCAGTATTTGCCAGTATTTAATAAATAGTAAATGTATGCATAAATTTATAATATATAAAGCATTACAATTATTTTCCTTGCTCCAATTATCAACCACTCATAAATCCTATAATTTTGCCATGGTCGGGTTTGCATACAGTCCTATTTTTAGCCAGGACTGGGACCCCAGTCACTTACTAATACATATAAGTTCAAACAAAAAAAAAGCTATTACACACTATTTAAAAATAATTCTTACTAGTTTAGTTTTGATTATCTGTAAATCTGCAGAATTTTCACCTTTTGAATGTAACTGAAGCTGAACAGAATGTAACTGAAGTAGTGAGTTTTTGACTTCCTTTTCTAGTATTGTTACAGTGGCCTTGGCTTCACTTAATTCAGTGCGCAGACCAATTAACTCTGCCTAGATAAAACCTTAAAATTAATTATTAATTCAAAAACTGATTTGAAATTAAAATATATGGAATTTGAAACCAAATTTAACTAAAAATTATATATATATATATATATATATATATATATATATATATATATATATATATATATATATATATATTTCCCTCAGAACCCTTAAATGAATATTTAATGGGTCTCTAATATTTTCAAATAAAATTCTTTTCAAAAATATGTCAACCTGTTACTCAAATGAAGAAAATTATATAAAAATTTCAAAAATAATATTCATTTCGAAAAATTTTTAACTTATTTATCATAAAAAAATATTGTATCACTAATTATTTACTATATTTTGTCCAGAAGGAAATCAGCTTTTTTTAATACTTTTGATTAATTTATTAATTTTCGTGTACAAATAATGAACTTTGTGATGAATAAAACTTGAAGAACATTGTCTCTAAACAGTAACATAGTTATTTCTCTAAATTGAAAAAATGCAGCACTTTTATATAAAGAAACTAAATTAGCATTATTTGGTTGCACTTGCTTTGTCCGATACTGTATATAAATTAGTAAAAACATCTCATTTTTCTTCGACAGGCTGTATCTCCTTCTGTAGGTTCCTTAAGAAATAATGTCTAAATATCAAAAAATTCAAATTATAAAAAAATATATTTGACAGAAAGTTGTAATTGTTATAATTAATTATATAGTTGTATTATATAATATAATATTATATAATTATAATTTTATAATCAATTATATCAAATAGAGAGCACTCTTATTGTAGAATACATAATTTACATATATATCAGGGTGTTAGCCACGAATATGTTTTTCAACACGGCAACATTTCGGTGCCGCCCCAAATCAGAAATTGAGGGTTTTTTTGCCTTGTAGGATATGTCTTTTTAGGCAAAGGCTAAGAGATGCAAACTCCGACATAAAACACCCCCCTGCCTTGGGGCTCTTGGTTGAGTAAAGGCTAGAGACGGTGTCTCGATAAAAATATTCATCTTGCGCAGATGTTGATGCATCCGGCTGCTGTCTTGTAGAAGGCCTCCTAGGCAAAGACTTATAGGGTAAACAGATTCTATCTGTTGACCAGCCTCGCACCCTTCTCCATCTATTAGGCTAGCGCAGATGTATTTTTAATACATTTTTTCCAGTTTAGGATGTTGAACACTGGATCTTCTTGACTCAATTCATGGGTTTTGCTTTTGTCTCTGTTTTTATGACTAGGCAACTCATTCTATTATCTCCAAATGAGGGTACAGCTCTAAAACTCAGTTTTATGGTTCTGAGGCCGGCTGGTAGTCAGGTTTCCCGAACTCTGCGGTAGCTCTCAAAGAGGCTGATTCCATCAACAGCTAAAAAATATTAGAGTACTAACAGTGCCATGTTGCGCATGGATGGTGTCCTTGTTTGTACTTTTGGTGTGCATTGCCAAGGCCAAATTGGAGCCCTTTGTTTCGTTTAGCACCACTTCACTCTGTCACCTTTCTCTTTGTTCTATATTGCTCTTCTTCATCTCAAGACTGCACTCTTCTTGATGTTGTTTCTGATCATATTGACCAAGCCCTCATTATTTATCCATCAGCCAATATTGTTGCTGTCGGTGACTTTAATGTTCATCACACTGAATGGCTTGGCTCTAGTGTCAGTGACTCCGCAGGCATTAAGGCCCACAACTTTTGCCTTTCTCAATCCCTAACTCAAATAGTCAACTTTCCAACTCGCTTTCCAGACAACCCGAATCATTTACCTTCTCTACTTGACTCATGTCTTGTTTCTAATCCTAGTCAGTGCTCAGTTTTTCCACACTCATCTTTAGGTGCTTCTGATCATGGTTTGGTCTCTCTAAAACTATTATCTCATTCTTCTTTACCTTAAAGCTGACTGGGACTCTTTCCGTGATTTTCTTCGTGATGGCCCCTGAGTAGAAATCTTTCGTCTTCCTGTTGACAAATGTGCTTTTTACATAACTTCATGGATTCAGGCTGGCATGGAATCCTTTATTCCCTCTCAACAATTCCAGGTCAAGCCTCACTCTTCTCCATGGTTTTCCTCCCATTGTGCTGCTGCAATTGCCAATCGAAACCATTACTTCCATATCTATCAGCAAAACAATTCTCCAGAAAACAGACATCTGTTTATTACTGCTAGGAACCATTGTAAAAAGATTTTGTCTAACGCCAAAGCCCACTATTCTCAGATCATGAAATCTCGCATTTCATCACAAAAATTAGGCTCTCGTGACTTCTGGAGAATCTTTAATAGTATCAATAATAAGGGCAAGTCTGTAATTCCACCTCTTTTTGTATGGTTCAGACTTTGTCACCTCACCTAAAGACAAAGCTGAATTGTTTGCCAGGAACTTTTCATCAATATCATCTCTTGATTCCGCTAGCTGCGTTCTACCTGATATAGCTGTCAAACAGGTTGATCCATTGCTCAACATCCGTATCACTCCAGCTTCTGTATCTAAAGTGATTTTCTGCTTAGACTCTTCTACAACTTGCGGCCCGGACAACATACCTGTTATAGTCTTGCCGAAGTGTTCTCTGGAGCTGTCGTCTATCCTTTCAAAACTATTTAACAAGTGCTTATCAGAGTCTTGTTTTCCAGCCTGCTGGAAAGCAGCATCTGTTATCCCTATTTTTAAAAATTCTGGAGAGAGATCTGATTCGTCTAACTACCGTCCCATTAGTCTTCTTCCTATCTTAAGCAAGGTTTTTGAATCTTTAATTAACAAACACTTAATCTCTCATCTTGAATCTCATAACCTACTTTCTGATCATCAATATGGATTTCGATCTTCTCGTTCTACGGCTGATTTGCTAACAGTAATAACCGATAGGTTTTATTGTGCATTAGACAAAGGTGGAGAGGTTAAGGCCATTGCTCTTGACATTTCTAAAGCGTTTGATAAAGTTTGGCATGCTGGTCTTCTCCATAAGCTTTCTTCTTACAGTGTATCTGGAAACATCTTTAAGATTATTGAATCCTTCCTTTCTAATCGTAGTATAAAAGTTGTCCTTGATGGACAGCACTCTTCTTCTTATTCTGTAACCTCAGGGGTTCCTCAAGGTTCAATCCTTGGCCCTATACTTATTTTAATTTACATCAACGATCTTTCAGATATTCTCACATCTAAAGTGGCATTGTTCGCTGATGATACTACCATTTATTCTTGTCACGATAAGAAGCCAACTCCCTCTGATTGCTTGCAGGGGGCATCTGAGCTTGAAAAGGATCTCACTTCTGCTACAGCATGGGGCTCACAGTGGCTGGTGAACTTTAATTCAGATAAAACTCAATTTTTTTCAGCCAATCGTTATCGCAATAATTTAGACCTTCCTATATTTATGAACGGTAATGTACTCGATGAGTCTCCTACCCTTCATCTTCTAGGATTAACTCTTACTTCTGATCTTTTTTGGAAACCTTAAATCAAATTTGTTGCAAAATTAGCATCTGCTAAAGTCGCTTCTCTTTATCAAGCTCGCCATTTTCTTACTCTGGATTCTATTCTCTATCTCTATAAATCTCAAATCCGGCCTTGTATGGAATACTGTTGCCATATCTGGGGTAGATCTTCTAATGATGCCCTTTCTATTTTAGACAAGGTGCAAAAACGCATTGTAAACATAGTTGGACCTGCTCTTGCAGCCAACCTTCAACCTCTGTCACATCGTCGTAATGTTGCTTCTCTTTCTCTTTTCTACAAATACTATAATGGGCACTGCTCTAAAGAGCTAGCATCTCTTGTGCCATCTACTAAAATTCATTCTTGTGTTACTCGTCATTCAATAAAGTCTCATCCTTTTTCTGTTACTGTTCCTAAGTGCTCCAAAAACTCTTATTTGTCCAGTTTTTTTCCTCGAACATCAGTTCTTTGAAATTTGCTTCCTTCATCTTGCTTTCCTGATTCATATAACTTGCAATCTTTTAAGTCGTCTGTCAATCGTTATCTTGCTTTACAATCTTCATCTTTTCTCTTCCAGTAACTTCCAACACTAATTAGTGGTTGCTGTTAAATATATATATATATATATATATATATATATATATATATATATATATATATATATATATATATATATATATATATATACATAAATATATATATATATATATATATATGGACATTTTTTCTTTTTTTTAAATGACTTTCATGTGAGTATGTATTGTCTATAATTGTTAAATGTGTTGATTTTAATTAGTTTTATACTTGTTAAAACTATTGCAACCATCAACAAAAAATAAAGTTTTTAAATTAAATTAAAATAAAATTTACTTTGACTAAATCCAATACAGTAATGTATTGGATTTAGTCAAACAACTGATTTATAAATTCAAATGAATTTTGAACAATGCACACTTGTCACAACCTTAAATTCGTCTTAATTTCTAGTGTGGTAGCAAATAAATATCTCTAAGTTCTGAAATACTTATAGGTAACAATGCTTCAAGTAGCCTATTGCTTCAAGTAATCTATTAATTTTTTGCTACTAAAAGAAGTGGATTTCTAATTGATGGTTCATTCAATTCTACAAATATTGGATCAGGTTTTGTTTTACGTTTTGATCTAAGTCTTCTAGTATAAATTAGTTTAATCTCTGAGTTGTCAATAAAATTCAAAAACATTTGCTGTCATTTTTTTTTATCTTCCTTTCTCCTAGTTGTCAGTTCTGTTTGGGTTTTTTTTTCTTATCTCTCTATCATGCAGCTTGTAAATAGTTGTTTTAGCTACAACTAGTTGCTCAGTTGGCTTTTTACCATATTTTATATATTTTATAACAATTTGCACCCATTTGTTGCCAATACTGTCAAAAATTAATGATTGCTAAGATTTACTTAAATCATCTTTTAAACTTTCAACGATTTTCAAATTATTTTTTTTTCCCCTCAAGATATTCTATTTTGTTTGATAGTTCTATGAGATACTTTAAAACTTTTCCACAACGTGTTTGTAACAGTTTAGATGCATGATAACCTGTCCAA